GTAGCAAAAAAAAATCCCCCTATAAAAAAAAATGTCACAGGTGACCTGTGACATCTTTTGTGGGGGTATCTTTTATGTGCAATAGTTCATATCGTCCAATACAGATGTCACCAGGACTAAGATTCCATGATCGTGCAAAAACCATTTTACTGATAGTTGTCATTGAAACGACATGCGCTTATGGGGCCACGCAGAGTCCCCTTCAACAGGCTCAGCTATGAAATTGCATAAAAGTACCACAACCTTTTTATACAGTACAGGCATACTAGAAGGTAATTTCTGAGCCTGATTATGAAGGGGATTCTGTGAGGCCCCAAAAGTGCTTGTCGTTTGAATGACCACTATCAGTAAAATGGATTTGCACTAACATGGGATCTTGGTGCTGGTGACATCTGTATTGGAGTTCTGTTGTGAGCGACGCCATCTGCAGTCATTACAGGCACCCATTACTTTTGGGATATCCGGTAAGGAGCACGGCAAGGTGTATGGATACTGCTTTGTATAGTACATATCTGGGCACCTATGATTTGTGATACATTGTGATTAACTGCACTGTTATTTAGTCACAAAATATCTGCATAGTGTATACTTTACAAAACAATTGCTACGGGGTGCTACAGTGTTCGGGTTTGGTTTGAAGGCAAGGGGGCAACCCTAGTAGCTCCCAAGTTGAAGAATTGTGATGGAAGACAGTGTCTTGCAGTTAGCAGTCATGTTCTAGGGTTTTGTTTTAAAAAGGCTAAGCGCTTTAATGTAAAATCCTACATATGCAGCGTACATGTGCAGGGTTTCTGGAGAATCTCTAGCTGCAGTGTCAGAGGTCACTTAACTTCTCACATTTCCGGCCTTTCAGCTGCCTGATCTCACACATAATATCTGAGACAATGGGTTTATTTAATATAGTAGTAAAGACTGTTCACTTAGAAAAGTGAAAGTTTGCATCCATCAACCAATCATGTGCTAGCATTTGTTTTCTCATTATCCCTGTATTATTGGGTATGAGCACAGGTTTCCTGTGTTTTCACTTTGCAAAATGGACGTACACTTTACAAAGAAAGTGTTTACTTTGATATATTCCCCCCAGTGGTTGATTTACTAAACCAATAGAGAATATTCACATATCAAACATTCCACAGTCCAGTTCACAGTTAAAAGAGAAATTCCATTAAGATACTTGGAGCTGAACCTATGCAAGGGATTAGAAGTCCATTGTGCCTTTAAAACAAACAAAAATAAAAAACAACCTGTCCTGCTCTCTCTTTAATATACACATTTCGGTTTGCTTGATACTCTGAGGATCATACAATTTATAAATCGGCTGAGACTGCATGACGCTATGTGTTCCTGGGGATTTGACCCAAGCATATTAATGAAAGTATGAATTCAGAAGCTCTGACAGTTCACACATCCATAATCTTAATCTTTTAAAAACAGCAAAAGTATTATCCATTATATCCTTGCTTTGTTTGGAAGAGACCCCGCCAGGTCTCTATAGGGTTAAACATTCTGCAGCCCTGCAAGAAAAGACAGCATTTTCTTCCCTCTGCGACCAATTCTCCTACCTTCCCTTTGTTCAAACGTTGCAGTCTTGGAAAGCCTCTTTGGTATTGGACCCTTTTGGGAATCCCCCACTGTGCACTGGCTCTTTTGTATGTCCCCCAATGTCAATGCTGAGTTCTGTAGTGATGTAAAGGGTTAGAGGAAGGTAACTAGCACACTGTGTTGAATGTTGTGTTGAATGGCGAAGAGGCTTTCCAAGGCTACAGCACAAGGTTGGATAAATAGGCCCCCTGGTGAGATGGGTACATGCTGTCTTCTTGCAAGGAAGTAAAAAGTTTAAAGCTGTAGAGACCGGGCAGGGTTTCTTTAAAAATCCCATACATATGTATTTATATGCTGCTGCTTGTAATAAACAAATGTAAGCAATCACTATCTTCTGCTGGCATATCAACACTCAGACTTGCTGAAATAGTATAACATTGGGAATAGTTTGTGTTCCTTGCATCGAGCAGTGCTGCTATCTTTATATTGATCCTTCTTCCCCCCCCCCCTTTTTTTTTTGTTGTCCCTCCCCCCCCCCCCCCCCCCCTTTTCTTTTGAAGGGCAACCGCAAAGAAACCAAAAAAGCAATCAGCCAGCTTCAGCTTCACAAGGTGAAAAGAGGCGAAAAGGTAAATGGTTTTTACTGTACTTAACAAGTGATAGTAAAAGGGTTTCCCTGATGGGGAACTTTGCCTACATTTGCCCTCTAAGAACTTTTGATTTATTTTGTGAACAGATACATTTTAATATGAATGGCCCAGCAACAACATTTTACAAGATCACTTTAGTACTCCATAAGAACCTTCGTTCTGCAGGATTGCCATCTTTCTGCTAACATTGCCAGCTCTAATTTGTGTAACTGTACTATATGGGCAGCACAGTGGCATAGTTGTTAGCGCTTCTGCCTTGCAGCACTGGGGGTCCCCGGTTTGTATCCTGGCCAGGTCACTATCTGCAAGGAGTTTGCATGTTCTCCTGTGCTTGCGTGGGTTTCCTCCGGGTACTCCGGTTTCCTCCCGCACTCCAAAGACATGCTGGAAGGTTATTTGGCTCCTGTCTAAATTGGCCCTATATGTATGTATGCGAGATGGGGACCTAAGCTCCTTGAGGGCAGGGACTGATGTGAATGTGCAACTATGTAATGTGCTGCGTAAATTGTCGGCGCTATATAAATAGCTGTAATAAATAAATATGCTATGCCTGCAGAGGGTAAGCAAGCGAGTACAAATTAAGGTTTTGTGACACTATACAGCAGTGTAAAGCAGTTTTTAAATGCTTCTCTGTATAGTTTTAGAAATTATTTCTGTGGAGTGCCTGACTTTAAAAAAAACAAAACATTTCCAGCTCTTTGCCTTGCTTGGCCAGTCTAGTGCTGTGGGGCCTGTAGTTTCTGAGATGGAGGTTGACTGGCTGCTAAGGAGGTACAACTAACGGCAGTGATTGTGAATGAGATCAAAATGCTAGCACAATTCTAGCAACCAGGCACAGGAAGGCTAAAGTATCTTTGGGCAAATGACCAAATGTGCACCAATACTTAATAAACCTATCACTTTGAATTTTTATGAAAACCAATTCTTTTAATACTTGGTCCTGGTAACACAGAGCTCTTGGTGCTACCGTGTTTCCCCGAAAATAAGACAGTCTTATTTTATTTTTTTTCACGAAAAAAGACACTAGGTCCTCAGAAATCCCCGAATATAGTGCTAGGTCTTATTTTCGGGGTAGGTCTTTCGGGGAAACACGGTAGTAGCCTTCAGTGCACAGTGGTCCGCACTAAGAACTATGTTATACCCTCCTTACAATAACCCCTATGGCTTATTCACACTGGCATTGGCACTGGTCTGTCTAATACTGTCTGGAGAGCCTGTTTAATATTCACTGAACACATAGGCAACCTCGGCATTCCAGTTGTGGTGAACGTACAAATCCCATCATGCCTCTGACAATAAATAGCGTTGACTTGCGTAATCTTGCCATGCTTTATGGAATTTGTAGTTTTGCCACAGCTGGACTGCCAAGGTTGCCTTCTCCGACATATACCATCACACGGATTTAGGAGAAAACTTCTGTTTCTTTCCCTTAAAAAAGGGTTGGGAAGAGAGTATTGGAAGTTGGATTTCTACAGTGCAAAAAAGAGAATTGTTCTGTATATCGTTGTTTCTTGCAATAATGGTGCGGAGTAAACCTAGGTCAACAGCTCCTCTTGCATTCTAGGAGTTGGACAGCTCCCTGCTGTTGTCATCAAGGGCTTGCCCTCAGAAATATTTGCAGTATGATCAGTGCAGGATATGACTCACTCCTGTGTGTTTCACTGCTGTGTTTGTGATGATCTGACTTGTTGTTATTAACCCTTTTCCACTTCTTGTTTTGTGTTTCTCTTCCTCAAACTAGGGAGTAGATATTGAGGCAGAAAACTGTGCAGTATGTATAGAAAACTACAAACCCAAAGATGTTGTGCGCATTCTTCCATGCAAGTATGTATTACTAGTTAGATTGTTTTAAATGTTTTTTTTGTGCATTTAAAACTAAAAATGTTTTATTATGTATGTATTAGGGATACATTGATACCATTTTTTTCCAGACTGTGTACAAGTACCGATACTTTCCACAAGTACTTGCCGATACCAATTACCAATACCATTTTTACATTTTTTTTTATTTAGTGTCATGACAGTTTTTTTCTAAAACAATACAAACTAATGATTTTAGTACAGTGGGGGAGCAGTTGCGACCCTGATAGTTCTGCCGTTGACTCCAAGCTGTAGAGGGACTACAAATCTCAGCAATGCAGAATACCACCAGCTATAGAGGAGTACACATCTCAGTAATACATTATGTAGAAATACAGAATGGCAATACTGATACTGTTATCGGCACAACACTAGTATGTATATTTTCAACTTGAGCTAATGAAGTCTGTAAAAAGCCTTTGTTTTTTTTGTACTAAAGAAGCAATCTGAGGGCCTGGGAAATACAAATGAACCTAAAGCTCCATCTTCTGTTAAAATATTGCTATACAATATTTCATATTTACCAGACTAATATTTTTTTCTTTTTAGTTCTGGCCATAATACAAAAAAGCTGCATGTATAAACCTTCCACTTGAAGAGCAGTAGAAGCTGAAAATGTATTTAAAGGAGAACTATGGGGTCCATGTTTTTCCCCATAGTTCTCCTTAGGGTAACGGGAGGACACAAACTAATGTCCTCCCTTCACCCTAAGCTCAGTACACCGCGAGCTACAGCTCGCGGTATACTGAGACGCCTGAGCGGATCCCGACATCGACGTCGAGATCCGCCCAGCTGCGTGAGTGACAGCTGGCTCTGCTTATCTAGAGGCAGAGCCAGCTGTACCCGCCCCCTCCCCCGTCCCTTCCGCCAGTCAGCGCTGGCAGATCGGAGCGGGGAGAGGGGAATCCAGCGCTCCCCCTGTCACGGCAGAGAGCCGTAACATGATTGAGAGGTGAGCAAACGCCGGTATGTATTCGCTCACCTCCCGATCTACTGAGCCGACCTGTGACAGTCTCATTGTCACAGGTCGGCTAGAACTACGAGGTGAGTGGAAATCACTCATCTCATAGTTCTCCTTTTAAAACCATTAATACATTTCAGCATTCGGTCCTTGAATGACATTGTAATATACATTTTGCTTCTATGTGATGGAAGCAGTGTAAGCCTTTGGATATTATGTGTCACATATCACAACAGTGTAATTTGCTGTCAGTGATCTAATAGGCTGGGTAGTGGTTCAGCAACAAAATCGTTTTGCTACTCTCACTGTGTGTGACCAACAGGAACTTGCAATAGTCCAGTCTAATCCGTGAATGTTTAACAAATTTTGGTTAAGGATTTAAAGTTTGGTGCCTTACTGAGCGTTATTGAAAATTAAGTCATTGTCTTGAAACTTTTATGCAGGGAATGAGTCAGAGAATTATAGCTTTCATTGAAGGCTTGCTTGTTATACTTTGTGACATATTCCTTTTAGAGCCTTGCCTAAGTATGCAAGTCTTTGATGCATCCTATGGATAGTATTTGGCTGTTACTGGTTGTGATATTAGGTGGAATTAATAAAAGTTAAAGAAGAAAGATGCCCTGCCCATTGCGCCATGAAAATGGCAATAAGGGAAGATAAATTATTCAAGCGCTTAAGACACAACTCAGGGCTTTTCCCCATAGTTCTCCTTAGGGTAACGGGAGGACACAAACTAGCGTCATCCCATCACCCTAGACTCTGTATACCGCGAGCTACAGCTCGTGGTATACTGAGACGCTGCAGCTGAAGCGGATCCCAACAATTATGTCTGTATCCGCCCAGCTGCGTGACTGACGGCTGGCTCTGCCTATCTAGAGGCAGAGCCAGCTGTACCCGCCCCCTCCCCCGTCCGTTCCGCTAGTCAGCGCTGGAGGATCGGGGAGGGGGGAATCCAGCCACTCCCCTGTCACGGCAGAGAACTGTGACAGGATCGAGAAGTGAGCGAGCGCCGGTATGTGTTTGCTCACTTCCCGATCTACTGAGCCGACCTGTGACAGTCTCATTGTCACAGATCGGCTAGAGCTATGAGGTGAGTGAAAAGCACTCACCTCATAGTTCTCCTTTTAAGTTCTCACTTTGGTCTGGGTGGGGATTAAATCTCTGTACACGCAAGTTTAGGTTTACCAAAATTATGTAATATGAGGATCTACCTGAATTATCCTATCAATGTGTATCTGATCAGGCACCTGCACTACATAGTTGTTGGTAGAACTAAATGAGTTTGTACAGTCAGATTGTAACATGTGTAGTTATGGATCTGGGGTGTCTCAACAGAATGAGGGGCCTATGAAGGATGTAAAATGTGGAGCCTAACATGAGTATGGTTTTATGAGATGTGATTAAATGGGGACCCTTTTCAGCTACTACATGACAGCCTAGGAGATAAAGTATTACTTAAATGGCATTGAACCGTGCCAGAGTGGGTGTAGGTAAATCGGCATTGTTTAATGGGTAATAATGTAAAATTGGAAGATACCAGAAATATCAACCTATCTTTCAAGAAAATTATAAGAGACTGTTACAAGAGATTGTTTAAAGGGACTTTTTAGCATGTTAGGCCTGTTAGAGACCAACATGTTACAAGAGAAAATTGGAGAACGCCAGCATATTACAAGAGGCTTCTTGCATCAGAGAGGCCCGGAAGGCAATTGCCACCCTGCCCCCCGGCCCAGTCCGCCCCTGGCTTCTAGTGTGACTCTTGGTGTAGTGGTAGAGACTGTAAGGCTTCCAACATGTTACACAAACACATAGCTACATCTAGTTTATATACTATACCTCTATCAATAAAAACAGATGATCGGTATTTTGCAGTTCTCATGTATGTTGCTGTATAAACTGCACATACATTGCACATACCTGCATTGCTCCTGAGTGTATATAATTAACCTTTTACAGTCACCATTGTATCTGCGCACAAAAAAAAAGTGTATAGATGGATGTATAGATATATGTATGTGTGCAGTGGCGTAATCAGAGTTCTGGGCGCCCGGGGCAGAATTTTTTTTTCGCCCCCCCCATTATATAAAAAACCACTGGAACTGTACCCTGCACCTCCCCCCCCACACACACACGTTTTTATTTTAATTTTTCAAATTTTAATATTTTATTTTTTTTTGAAACTTTTTCATTTTTTTAAATCAATTTTTATTTATTAATTAATTTTTTATTAAATATTTTTATTTTTTACTTTACTTTTAGGGGCTTCGGGGAAATATTGGGGGTCTAAACAGACCCCTGATATTTCCCTTTAAAAATAGAAAAAGAGATTGAGGACACAGAGTCCTCAATCTCTTTTTCTGTGTCCCCTGTTATCAATGAACAGGAATCCTTTATGAGTGTTCCTGTTCATTGATAACATGGTATGTTTACTATAACTACAATTATGAATGAACAGGAGGGGATATAGATCACTCCCGTTCATTCATAATTGAGGATATAGTTTACATACCAGGTCCTCAATTATGTACAAACACTCAGCGATCACTGATCGCTGAGTGCTTGTACCCGTTCTCCTCTCTGACACACACTGTCATAGGAGGCTGCAAGAGGAGAGCCCAGCCTCCTGTGACAGCGCTGGCTGTCTCCGCCCCCACACCGCTCTGCTGCACTGTGATAGGCGGCCGAGCGGTGTGGGAGGAAAGACACCGGCCGCTCACAGCGCTCGTCCCGCAGCGCTCGGCCGGCTGTCATTTTCTCTCTGATTCCTTTCATCCCCGCTGGGCACTGCTCTGTGTCCCAGCGGGGATGAAAGGAATCACGGCCGCGCCGGCAAAACGGCAGGAAAATGTCACTTTCGGCATTTAGCCGAAAGTGCCATTTTCGGCCGGCGCCCCCCCCTTCCCTTTTCGCCAGGGGCCCGCGCCCCTGCTGCACCCCCGGTTGTTACACTACTGTATGTATATTAAATATATTTATATATGTATGTATGGGCATATTTACACCATGAAACACTTCCTCCAGCTAAGAGAGAGAGATGTAATATGCAATGATTCAGTGCATATAAAACATGTTCTTGTACATGTATTGAAATGACTGTCAGGAAAGAAATGTGGAATGCAGTGACGCAATGTCAGTACTATGCTTGTGTTTGTTTTTACAAACTGCTACAATTTAGTAAATGATTTATTGTATCAAGTCAGCTTGTACTATGACTCTGCTTACCTAGACACACCCCAGATTAGACTTCATTGCGATTAGTGGTTGGCTGCCAGAGGTCCATCTAACTAGGACAGAGATCAGGAAACTCTAAGAATCTCTGACTCACAATCTGAGATGAGCAGAGTGTGAGTATTGCTGATTGCAGAGCTGTAGTTGGGTCGTTTAAGACCACTACAGAGAGACCACTGTTTCCATGCAAAACACTGCAGCCTTTATCTGCAGCCTTTTACTGGGGGAATGGATTTTCTGCTGGTTCTGGAGCTCAATTAAAAGCAACAAATGGACATTAAAAAAAAATTGTCTTTCTTTACCTCAGGTTATCTAATGACTTTTTGTATGCAATTTCAGTGGGGCTTTAAAGTAAACCTATCATTACAGGGACATGGGGACTGCAGTTTATAACTACCTTCTGAAATTCTTGTTGCTGGGCTGCCTTGCATTAATACTTTGCACTTCTGACTTGGTACAAGTATACACATGAGAAAACACAACACATATGTAGTATACACATGAGGTGACAGGAAGTTCCAGGTCAGTGACTAAGGCAGTATTGAAGACAGTATGTCAGATTAAGGCTGGGTTCACACCTAGGCGGATTGAATATGCACGTTTTTCGCGCGTTTTTTTAACCCCGATTCGTGGTTAAAAAAACGCGCGTTTCCAAGGGATACTTGGCTGTATCCCAATGGAACCGCCCGACCAAAACGCCCCAAAGAAGTACATGTACTTCTTTGGGCATAGGGCGGTTTCCCGCACGTTCGTACTCGCGGAAAACCGCCCAGATGGGAACCATGCACATTGAAAAAAATGGCATTTCCCTGTTTGAGCGTTTTTCCGCGAGTACGAAAGCGCGGAAAAACGCCTAGGTGTGAACCCAGCCTAACAGCCAAACAACTGGCACTTTCAAAAGTCGGTTTGCAATGGCAATAACTGTATTTTTTTTATGATAGGCAAACATTAATGGCTATGCACCAACTTGGGGAGTCCTCGGAGAAGAGCTGCCTGCATAGAGGTGCAAGTCTGGGCTTGTTGCATGTGGATTATGGTTTTTAAAGTCAAGCAATAAATAATAAGGGAACTGCACTGCATACATTGTCTTGGAGCACATGATCATCTTTAATCTAAGCCTAAGATAAAAATAGAAATAAAAAAATGGTGTTTTGACACTTTTCTTCCTTTTTTATTCAGGCATATTTTCCATCGGATGTGTATAGACCCGTGGCTGCTTGAACACAGAACATGTCCAATGTGTAAACTGGATGTTATTAAAGCACTCGGATATTGGGTGAGTGAGTAACTCAGTAGTTCAGCATGAGAAAAAATGGCAGATTTGTTTGCCTTTGATCTAACGTGTACCAGCATGCAAATACCATGTACCCTACAGTGAATGCAAAGTCCAACTAGCACACTTGGTACTGCAATAGAACTGTGGATTCATGACTGATGATGTTTATCCAGTAAGTTACATTACCCCTAAAAATTATTATGCCGTTTTCCAAGAATGGGGTTTTAGTAATAATAAAATATTTTTTTAAATTAGTAGTATAATAATAATAGTAAAATATCTGTGAGATCTTTTATGGGTTTGTATCAGTTGCCCCATCACAGCTCTGCTTCTGTGTTTTTCCTGCTCTTATTAAGACTAGGTTCACACCTAGGCGATTGAGCCGGTGAACTGTTTTCGTTTGTGCGACTGTGTTTTGAAAACCGTGCGGTTTTTAATGCATAGAGATCCTTTGCACGTGTGTGTGTGTGTGTGTGTGTGTTTTTTTATTATTTATTTCTACTGTTGGGGGGGGCCTTCGGGCAAATATCAGGGGTCTAAACAGACCCCTGACATTTCCCTTTTGAAATAGAAAAAGAGATTGAGGACACGGAGTCCTCTGCCAATACAGGTGGGGGATATAAGCGGGAAACAGAGGAGAAGCTGGAGCCTGTGCCGCTCCTCTTCTCCCTGCTGAGCCGTGGCTGTGTTGGCCGCCTGGTGCCCCTGTTGCTAATGGCGCCCTGTGCTTGCCATGGCAATGGGGGTGAGGGGGCGCAGTCAGGCCGGCCCTGGCTGCGCCCCCTCTCAGCTGCGCCTGAGCCGAGTGCCTCACTCGCCCCATGGTAGCTACAGCCCTGCATAGAGATGTCTATGGGACCCAAACCGCACAGTTTTCAATGCATAGAGATGTCTATAGGACCCAAACCGCGTGACAACCACCTGAAAACTGCAAAGGTGTAAACAGCCTCCATTGACTTCAATGGGAATCTGTGTTTTTTGAGCGATACCGCGCGACTCAATCCACGCGATAAATCGCCTAGGTGTGAACCTCGCCTTAGAAGTAGGCCTAGCCACTGTTACAAAAGATGAGACAGTAAATCATGCACATTCTTTGAAAAGTCTTCAACTGCCCAGAGTCTCTTTGATTTTAATAAACAAGCTTTTTAATTTCTGCCTAATTGGTATCCAAATGTACTCCTAGAAACAGGCAGTCAGACATTGGGGCAGCAGTATGGAATAGCAGCTGCTCAAAACTACACTTCTGTCCGGTGGGAACATATTTGATGTTACTGGTATAATATATTTTTAAGATGAGTTTTATTACTTTTCATTAAACATAAATTATATAAATTTACAATAAGAACAGTGCTTGTTCTCTTGTTTTGTACAACAAGACAGTACTTCTTTTTTTTTTCCACAAAGAATCGGGACAATACTTTCAGGAGTATATAGCTTTCTGTTTAAGAAGCAGATGCATTTTACAGCAGAGGCTATAATGCATTGGTGGGCATTAAGCCAACGGTTCCATATACTGTCAAATTTCCACATTCACTCAGTTCATACGCCCTCTTTTTATAGAAGAACATTTCTATTAAGAACTCTGCAAGTAGACTAAGTGGTTGGAACAGGCTTTAACTGTCCAAAGATAATGGACTTAAAGTGTAAAAGAGGCATAGTTTTAGAAAGATTTGTTTTCCTTTTTTATAATCCATCTAGCTAGCTATTGTAGATCAGTAAGTGTATTCCTAAAATATGTGAATATGTAATATCTCCAACAGCAAATAGCTTTTTCCCTTTTGACATCTGCAAATGGGCACCATGGTCAGTGAAAACTGCACCAATATTGTTGCTGCCTTGCACTCTTTATACTTCCCCAGTTCCTACACTGTTAAAAAAAAAAACCCCCACAGGTGATGGCCTTGCACACAGGATGGCTTACTCTCAAACTTGCTGTGTGCCCTTCCCATCAGGCGTAACTGCATCTTCTCCATACTCCAGCACTTGTACCAGCAGAGCAAAGTGGACAATGAGTACACAATAAAGCCAAGGAACATGGATTTGGGAAAATTGCATTGAAAATGTATGAAATTATGCACTTCTCCCAACTCGTCAAGCTTTACCTCACTTTCTATCTTCTGTAGTCGCAGACAGAGGTGAGACATCGTCATATTCAGAAGAACAATAGCCTGGTGACAAATGATCTTGACTGACTATGATTCTTGAAAATCTAACTGATTACCCCATGTATTATGGGATTGTATTATTCTGGATCTTTAACTTGAACTGGCATATTTTTTCACACTGGGCTTTTTTTCTGGCCATCTACCAACATCCTTTTAGGGCTTGTTTCCACCATCACCAGAACAGAACCAGACCATGACGTTATTTTAAATGCACCATGCATCCCCATGTATTCCTCTGGTATTTCCCACCAGTGCAGTCAGTTCCAGTACTTTAAAAAAATAACAAGTACTGCAGGCATTAACGCAAGCAAAAAAAACCCACTGTACAATCCCTATATGGAAAAGGGTGTTTTCACCTGAACATTGGTGACCTTGGCTGTGTCCTCTGTGTCCTGCAAACATGGTGCACAAACATGTGGACACAGATAGGTTTGTCACCTTTGTACAAGAATGTCCTGAGCTTTATGACCCAAAACACCCAGGATTATCACACACCGTGCCAAAACAATGCCTGCATTCCATGGCTCAATGTTTGCTAAACTCCTGTGCAAGTCAACTAACACGAGAAAAGCTGGGAAGAAGCAGGAAACGACCTAGGAGACATAATCTGCATACAAAAAAAACAACTAATCGCACTTGAGCGCATCAAAAACATGCTAAAAAGGTATGCAACTGCGTTTGCAAAAACGCGTCCATATCTGGTCTGGTGATGGTGGAAACAAGCTCTTACAAGGCAGTAAAGTCAGTGAATTGTGCAATAGTCTGTTGTCTGCAAGCATCAATAGACTCATGTTCAGAAAACTGAACAAGGTTTGCATAGGCTTGGGCTTTCTGCTGCCTATCCCTGATGTCATATAACGGTGTTGGTTAGTAGTGGTGGCAACATATCGATCAGTAGCTGCTAAAAAAAAAGTCTGTAATCCATAGCTGCCCTTATTACCACCACTATCTCACCTTACTATTGTGCTTCCCTTGCTGTCCTCTACCACCACGAACAATTAAACCCTTTTTTTTTTCAATTGTGTCCTTAGCTGAATTTTGGTGGACTCCATTATAGCCATCTAATTCCACTAAGAGGAGATAAGCTAAAGCAAAATACGGAAGAAAATGTTAGCTCTCATCTATGTGTGCTTTTTTTTTTTTTACAAACCAGATTCTTCAGTCACATCAACCACATACATGCCAATCTCTGTCTAAGGCCTAGCCTAAAATACAACAGAACAATTTTAGCACTGCCTCATTTCGCATCAGCACTTTTCCTCTATTTTCATTATCTTTCTTCCTCCAGTTTCTTAGGCACATTTCCAAGTAGACAAAAGGCATGTAAAATGTCAAGCCTGAGTCAGCATCTCTTCCCTGAAAAAAATGTAACAATTGAAATGCCACAAAACCAAATGTTGCTGCTTTATCAATTTGTATGATGGATTTTCAGTAGAGGAGCAAGTTTTGAGTTCACCAAATGCAATTCTCCACTGGAGCAAATTTTACTTAAACCTATTTGTTTAGCTGTACAAGTTGGCACGTCTTGGTTCTTCTCCGTGTGTCCTCCAGAAAATGGAACACATGGCCTGTGGTGTAATAGAGCTTGCGAAGATATAAAAATGAGGTCTGCTATCAATAAACTCCCTGGTTTGCTTGCTTCCAGGTCAAATCAACTGCCATCTGTGCTGATGAATTAAGTAAAATAGCTGTGGTTGAGGAACTTGTTTGAAGTGAGGTTTCATGAAGGCATTAAATGAGGCAATTCTTGCTCCGTAAACCTTTCTAGACTCTGAAGAGCATCTGTTCATTGTTCATCGGGGCCTTTGTGTTATTTCCCCTCTAGCAATGGCAGGCATACAGCAATTTATTCAAACTTCAGCACACCTACCCACTCCTACTGTGATCGCAATGCCACAATCTTACAACAGGTTGCAGGAAAACCACAATAAACAATGCAGAGTCTTAATCAATATCTTGGATGCATTCAATATACAATAGAATTCCTACCTACACAGATTGTGCAATGTATTAGTACCTAAGGGTATCCAGCGCAGAGACTTTTTATAGATTTTCCTGCTGTCCCTGTGCCCTGGCTATTTTTTTTTAACAAGAAGTTCAAATTTTGTCCTAGAATTTACAGAAAGTGAATTTCTCTTTATTTGTTTTTTAGTCTGTTTTTTAATATGTAATTGAAAGTGTTTTGTTATATCTGTTTGATATGCAAAAACATACATTTTGATTATGCCATAAATTGTGTGAACTCATCACTTTCTGTGCTTTCTGCCTCTGGACTTTTATCAGTATGCACTGCTTCCATTTCTTGCCTTTTTGATTACAGAACAAATCCTCCTTATGTTATGGAGAAGAGGAGGGAGGTATTCTGTAGTCTTAATGCACCTTTGTCTTAGCCCTGGTTCACACCTAGGCGGCACCGGTTTTGTATGTGCACATTTGTATTCCCCTTTTTGAAGTGCGTATAGGAAGATGCACGTTTTGATTGGCAGCTCATAAGCCATTGTGGACAATGGAAGAACGTGCGTATAAACACGCAAAAACGCTCACAAAAATGTGCAACATGCTTCTGTTGCGCGTTTTTGGGCATTTACAATTAACTTAATGGGGAGCTTTTAAATGCCCAAATAAGCTCCGGTATCTTTTCAGGCGTGTGGCGTTTTCCTGCTAGGCATTTTTTTTGCTCAGGTGTGAACCAGGGCCATTGAAAATCATGGGATTTCTTGTGTTGGGCAGTTAAAACGCTTTTTGAACTGCTCAGAAACTCCTAGGTGTGAATCGGGGCTGAGGGTGACAACACTACTCTTCCATTAATGCAGTACAGCAAGTGAGAGTTGTCACCCTAGGAAGTGTGTTACAGACAAAAATATATCCTATTTGTATATCACTTGGCTGTAGATCATCAAATCATCTCTGAATTGGTGCCGACACTGTCCTTCCTTCTGGAGGGTGGCTACTTTTCTTCCCCTTGTTCCCTGCGTGTGTTGTAAAGTAGCCACCGCTGTACGCTCGCTCCTGTGATGGACTACAATCTCATTACAAATTAGTAAACTAAACATGAGATTGTAGTCCATCACAGGAGCGAGCTTAGAGCGGTGACTACTTTACACCACACACAGGGACCATTGGGAACAGAAGTAGCCGCCCTCCAGAAGGAAGGACAGTGTCAGCACCAATTCAGAGATTATTTGTGGATCTACAGCCAAGTGATACACAAATAAGATACATTTTTTTTTTTTAATATAGTTACGGTACTTAAAGTGACACTAAACTCAGAAGTCAATCTTCTAAATACATTTAACCTAATTTATATAGGAAACTTGACAAAGCCCAAAATAATATGTCTTCAGCCTAGGGTGAAAAGAATACTTCCTTTGTGGAGAACCATCGTGGCTGATACTATAGTTAACTACTTGTTTACCGGGGGTATTTATTTTTTTGGGGCCACGCCGTTGCATGTATGCAGCTCTTATGCATTAGTCTGTGTTGGGTCACAAAAGTGACATAGGTGGGTGATGTAAGTTTCAGCCAAATCTGTTGAAGTTCAAGCCTCTCTCACAGCTGGGTAGAAGAAATGTTGAGTAGTTCAAACTGCCTCTATTGGCGATTTTTAAACTGCAACACGAAGAGAGATTGGTCTTTTCAGGATAGAAAATATTAGTAGTTTGTTGTGTTTTGATGAGCAGTGATGAATCATGTATTGTACTGCACTGCCTATGGGAAAGCAGTACCTGATTTTGTATGTGTGAAGGTCAGGTGAGAGATGTGATTACATCCCCTCTTAACACAACTCTAGCCCCAAATTTCTTTTGTTTGGATAGAGCCAAGAAGTTCTCAAATATCTGTCAAATCAGTAAAGCTGTCCTACTTTGGGAGATTTCCTTTCACTTTTGTCAGGACAGTGAAGTAGTGGGAAATCTCAACAATGGGAGCATAGACAAAAGCACATTTAATAGAGTTTAGGGCTGCTACTAACTCATTTTTTTAAATAATCGGGTTAAAACAAATTATTATTTTTTTATTTAATAAATTCCTTATTAAATCTCTAAAAAAAAATGTAAAAAAATCTTACAGGTGGAGCCTGAAGAACCGCTGGAAATGCCTGTCCCTTATTCCATTGCTGGCAGCAGCCTTTCTGTGGGGACTTTAAGTTTTGCCCATGAGGACAACCGAAGTGACATGAACAACCTGACTACTTCTTCAACAGTGGACACTCTACAGCAGTGTAGTAGTATCAAGGAGGACGCAGGGGAGACTACGGCGTTGCTTGGTGAGTGCTTTGTTCACTGCTGCTTTGAATGTTTGTTTGTTTTTTGTCCTCATGTCAATCACGTGTTTTCTACAATCAAACCAAAATTTTCTAGTTAGCTTAAAGAATTAACCAATAGTATCACTTAGGGATGCACCGATACCACTTATACTCGGTATCGCCGCCGATACCGATGCTTGTATCGGTGCATCCCTAGTATCACTCAACAATACTTCCCAAACTGTCATCATCCATACACTACCGAGCAGTGCAACTGTTCTTGAATATTTATCACATAGGCAGTCAAACCAAAATTTTCTACAACCCCCAATTCCAAAAAAAAGTTGGGGCGCTGGGTAAAATCTACATAAAACCAGAATGCAATTATTTGCAAATCTCATAGTTCCATATTTTATTCACAGTAGAAAAAAGAAAATATATCAAATGTTTAAACTGAGAGAATGTAACAGTTTAAGAAAAAAAGGTAATTTTGAAATTGATGGCAGCAACATGTCTCAAAAAAGTTGGGGCAGGGCAACAAAAAGCTGACAAAGTAAGTGGTACTAACAAGGAAGAGCTGGAAGAATGTTTTACAGCTAATTAGGTTAATTGGCAACAAGTCAGTAACATGATTGGGTATATAAAGAGCATCTTAGAGAGTCAGAGTGTCTCAGAAGTAAGGATGGGCAGAGGTTCACCAATCTGTGAAAATCTGCACCTAAAAATTGTCAAACCATTTCAGAATAATGTTCCTCAACGTAAAATTGCAAAAGATTTAAATATATCATCATCTACAAAACATAATATCAAAAGATTCTGAGAATCTGGAGAAATCTCTGTGTGCAAGGGCCAAGGTTGAAATGTAATATCGGATGCCTGTGATCTTCGGGCCCTCAGACGGCACTGCATTAGGAACAGGCATGATTATGTGATGGACATCACTGTATTGGCTCAGGAATACTTCCAAAAATCACTGTCTGTGAACACAGTTCTCTGTGCCATCCAAAAATGCAAGTTAAAGCTCTATCATGCAAAGAAGAAGCCATATCTGAACATGATCCAGAAATGCCATCTTCTCTGAGCTAAAGCTTGTATAAAACAGAATCTCAGACTAAGGGGGTTATTCACAAAAGGGTGAAGAGTTTGGAGAAGGGAACAATCTAGGACAAAATAGCTGATTTGGACAAATTCTCTAATTCAGCTCACTTACCAGTTCATTTATATTTATCTATTATTTTCTAATGGCACCCCAGTCGCGCCAAGCGGATTGCGCAGTTTCCGCCCGTGCTTCAGAACACGATTACAACAGCCGCACGTTGTGTATTGCAAAAAAAAAAAGGTACATGTAGCTTTTTTCTGGGATTGCCGTGCGGATGTCACCCCATTGAAAGCAATGGGGGCTGCACTGCAATTGCAGCCTGCATTGTGCAGGACCCGTGCGATCCCGGGTCGCGGAGGTCTGCACCGGGCCTAAATTTGCATTGGTGTTCAGTGCACACCTTTTAACTTTTACATTGGTACTCACTGAAAAATGTTAACTTTGAATTTGCGTTCAGAAGTGTCAGACTTCTTAAAAATAAAAGCTGTTAAGAGTGCCCCTTTACTACAGTTGTGTTGTTAGGCTGTAAGAGATAAAGAATTAGTAATACCACTGGAAGCGAGTACACGGGCAGATACACTCCCGCTGGGCAATTGTGCACTGACAGTGGCAGGTGTGCTGCTGTCCCAATACCTAAACTCTGTTTGCAGCTGATTGGTTGGAGACACTGTTTGAGAATTTTCGGACTAGAGAATATCAGTTGGATAAAAACTGGTGCAAGTTAGGTGCAACTTCAAAAAAAAAAAATTGCAACTAGCATCGTTTTATTCTACAGGGCCTCTGCTTTCAGAAAATATTTAATAATTTGGGGATTTTAAGCAGTTTTCTAGCCAACAATTCAGATTTTAGTGTGCGTGCGTGCCAAGGCGCGTATGTCCTGTCTGTATTTTGGCCTGTGAAGTGCTTCCTTACCTTGTTCACAAAATCAATGCTGATTTCTGCTGAGTGCCGCCATCTTGTGGCCGACGTCAGCAGCCCCAGCTGGGAAGCTGTGATGGGATCTTGACCTTGTTCTGTCCTGTATTAACATCCCCTCGTGTTAGTAAACTGCCACATGGTGGGGTCAAAATATTGTGAAATACAGAGGAAAGAACAAACTTTAGAAAGCATATATGCAAAAAGAAAATAAAAAGGAGCATAACCACATACGGCCATAAAGAAGAAAGCTAAAAATGTCTGAAAGAGACCGAGGCTGTTCAATGCAGCTGCTATTGGAAAATCTGTCTCGCACAGATTTGGCTGCTGACCCACTGACCATGCTCTCCTCATACAGCCTCTGCAGCATGAACACTGTATAGGGACAGGACAGTAACATTGAGATGGAAAAGAGAGCTTTCAGGCCCTCCCCAGAAGTGTTAAATTGTGGCTTAGTGGCCTGGCAACTGTAGCACTAAATATAAACCATCTTCTCACAAACTAAGAGCATGCTGAGTGAGTACATTGCTTAAACGTCTCCCTGATGTACTTAGCTGAGGTAGTGACAGGGTCTCTTCAAAGTAGAACTAGGGACTCCCATGAAAAATCTTGCAGGGTTTTTTTTTGCTATTTGCATTGTTACTGCCGATTTCACAAGCCTGTAGCTTGGCAGTCAGCACCAGGCCACACCTAGTCCAGCCCACTGCTTTGATTGACAACACACCCTCTTCCTGAAACCCTCCCACCAGAGGGTAAAGGATGTTTTTTGTTTACTTTGAGGCTTATGCATCACATAGTAACTGGATTTGGTACTTGTTTAGACTTTCATACAGGAATCTTTAGATATTCTTTGAGGCTCATTCCCACAGATGCAAATCCAGACGTATGGTCATACAGTGTACAAAGTAGCAATGAAGCCTCCAGATTCTGAATGTTAAAGAATTGAATGTGTAGCTGTATTTGTGTAACATGGAACTGTTCTTTCTTCTGCAGATGATCTTGGCAGTGAGGATACAGGGGAACAGATACAGAATTCTGGAAACTCTTCTTCTCACTAGCCTTCCTCACCTAGGACCTTTCAAGACTGTGCTAGAACTTGTTTCTAATTTTACGGGTTTAAACAAGCCATGAACTGACAATTGGTTGAATGAGAGGAGGATGGCAGGCCTACAACCTTCTGATACATACCCCTTTTGTGTTCTTAATATTCAAACCCCCTTTTCCTAAAGAAATGCATATGGCACTTGTTACATGTTCTTTTAAGGTCAAATGACACATTAATATGCAGATCAGGCTCTGATCACACAGGGGCAAAACTTATATATATTCTGTAATTTATATTGGACTGGACTGTCATTGTAGCAGCATGGAAGTTGGTTGTGTTTACGTTACCAGCTGCACTTGCCTCCTCTCTACATGTAATCATGAAAACATGAACAAAGACCCAAGGAAAGCACTTTTTCAAGAAGAAGCTATGTGTTCTGGTACCTAACCCTTGGTTCATGATGGCGCTGATTCTGGATATCTGCCTCAGGAATCTGTATAGACTGCAGCGATGAACAAGTTGTGCTACTTGTGATCCACCTCCGAATCTGGCCCCCTACAGCGTGATGAACAAGCTCTCTTCTGCTGGATTCCACTCCACTCAGGAATCCGTGCCCCCCGCCTGCAGTGATAATGCTTTGTTTTGGATGCAGCTCAGGAATCTGTGTGATTGCCGTGATTCAGAGGTTCTGTTGTAGTGGATAATCATGTAGACATGACAGCACTGCCCAGCTTTCTGTGGATAACTCATAACTCGCTGATTTATTTTCGAGGTTTTCGCTCATTATTTAGGGGCATATTTATAAAGACCCGGCTGATCTAGGCAGGTTTTCTGTGCTGGAGTTGTGGTGCATTCACTGGTAACATTTACCACACTTCTAATGCGGCAAATTGTGTTGTTGGGAAATTATTTTTTGGGGGCAAATGTTAAATGTACAGTAGGAGTAATTTTCTTTTGCTGTGAATTTGTTTATATGGCACAGGCTGGAGGAGCTTCTGCTTTCACTTAGTCTTATAATTATCAGGCCTTGGAAATGATGTCCAGATTTTATAAGATATTCATTTTTACATAATACCAATTGTTATATGAATTTATATAATACCATTAGTTCATAAAGGTTTTTATGATACAAAAGAAAACCCCTTTAACATAATAATATGACTTGTGGGGCAAATCAAATCCATTTCTGTTTATTTATATATCTTTTTTTTTTTTTAATGTGTATTATATTGAAGTGAATTGTATTGCTATTGCCCCTTACATTTTCACATTCCTTGATGTGTAGCCCGTTGGCCATAATGAAATAGAGGTTTTCATGGCCTATAGGTTTGGGAGGGGTTTTTTTTTTTCATACAATCAGTAATGGCTCCCCTTGATTCTTCCTGCTTTCGCAGAGTTGTGGGAAAATGTGTAAGGGGTTAATTTATGTTTCCGAATCTTACCCAAAAACCATCCTAGAGAAGCGGAGCTGACTAAAGCCAATGACTGTGAATGTGGCATTACCTACAAAGTACAAAATCCACAAGCAGCATGCACAGCACAAACAAAGCCTTATTCCTATGCAGCTGCGGATCCTCTATGACGGGGTCTAAGATATCCTTGGTGGCAGGACCAGATTGCTGATACCGCCACACTACTTCAGCATCACATAGGTTGTCCAGAGGAAAAGCACAAGCTCCAAGTACAATGAGCCTGTTGGAGCCTTAGAGTAAAGTAACCAGACCTACCTTGAGACTCCTTCTCACTAACTTAACCGGTAATATGAAAGGGCAGCAGATCCTCAGATCGGACCAGATCATGAGCCATCTTTGATCTCCTAAAGAGCCTCCCACACCAATGATTTGCCTAGCAGGTTCTGTTTGGATGTTCTGGGATAGGTTCCATAGGGCAAAGCCTTGCATGTCTTTAAAAGTCCATCTCAGCCTGGCAAATGTACAAAATGAATGTGTCTGAATAAAGTCACTATTGCCATCCTACAAATAGGGGAAAAGGACAGTGAGAACCTTTTCCATTTAGTGAAAGATTTTGGCGGATGTTAGGCACATTTGTATGTGCTCTATATGGTTGCTGAGCTTGAAACAAGAAATAGTGACCAATGCTAGAGAAATACAGAGGCTGAGCTTCCCAACTGTGTCTCTGACATCAATATCTTGAGACCCTGACCTGGAACAAGTATGCAGATAAGAGGGTCATATTCAACTCGGAAGTCCTGATCTGCATCAGTTTCAAGTTACTGTCTATTATTCCTATTGAAGCCAGTGGACTAGCATGACAGCCAGGTATTTTCAGAAGGGAAGTGAAGAAGGCAGCCTCCATATTTTCTTACTACAGTTTTCAACAAAGCTCAAGTCCAACCCAAACTCCTGTCCTAGTGCTTTATAACTAGGGTGAATGTCTTTATAAATATGCCCTTTAGTCTGACCAAAAGCTGCTGATTTTCATTTTCCTCCCTTGTTTACATTTAGACTTCAAGCAAATAACATCATTCTAGCATTATGTACTGTGCTGAGTATATACACAATAAGAGGGATTAAAGCCTTTTTATTAGTTGTAATAAAGCTAAATTGTGTTTTTGTGTTGTTTGTTTTTAGATTCATACATTATGGTCTACACACCGGTTATCACTGAAAGGATTTTTGTTACTTTAGTTCCTCTGGAAGTCTCTTGTTTATGGCAGTTCCTACAAGTTTCATGTTACTGTTTGCCCTCAGTGGACACCCTTACGTAAATGTTGTCACATATCATTGTGTAGTCCATCATGGGAGATTGACCAGTATTTCTGGTCCTGGTGACTACGCCGAATCTTTCTCTCACATGACAGCACTGGTACTTGGCTGCTGAAAACCTAGCACTGTTGCATGGGGGCGTCATCCCTAAGTTGCTCCTAGTGATCAAAGTGTTGTAAGAACCAAAGTAGGAATACCTTAGGAATATTTTCCATGGGAGTGTCTTCCTTCATATTGGTACTTGATACCAAAATACCAGTATTGGTGCATCCCCTAGTCACAGATCAATTATCTTAACTGCAAATTGCCTGGTTAGGCACTTTCTGTGTGGATGTGTTTTCCCACATGAATAAAAGTTTTGATATGTATGTATTTGAAGGTTTACTATGTTCATACAGATAACTACCATGTTCTGTAAGAAGTCCCAAAGTTAAAAACTCTAAAATATTTACTACACAACACTACAGCTTCAAGATGCTATTTCCAAAATGTCAGGTAATCCTTTAGTCAAGGAACATTGCAAGTCAGCAACAGCCTTTGCCATTTCATAGCTGATTTATTATCTGGTTATCACAATGAGGGCAGGTCCAGTATTAGTCATTTTATTAAACATGCTTAGGAAGTGATAGCGCTCGTTATGAACACAACTAGGTTTATGTCAGTTCAAGAAACAGATTACAACATGCCTATAGCACAAAAAAAAAAAGTAAAATGACTGATGCTAGTTAAGGTGGCCATACGCTTTTTACAAGTCTTGCGAGGGTTGTAAAGTAATTTTAAAAAAACGTACGATCTGCCCATCTTGGACAGGCAGATTGTACCAAGGGGCGGGCTTCCGCTGACTGCAAACGGGTAGTGTGCGTGTGCGCACACCGGCCCGTTCGGCAGTTGTCGAACAAGCTGGCCACTAACCCACCGAGAAACATACGATTCTCGGCGGACGTTAGACGTGCGACCGTACAGAAGAAACGGTCGCACGCCTTCCATACACTTTGCGATTATTGTACGATCGCGGGATTTCCCCACGATTCTCATACAATAATTGTACAGTGTATGGGCAACTTTATTTTTCTTGGCATCTTCAACGACAGTCTAGAACTTGGGGTTTCCGTCAGCTTACTGGGACAGGAGAGGACGGTTGTGGAATGCCTTGCCCTACTCCACCTTCTCTGTTTTTATTGTAGATTAAAGGTAAATGTACTAAAAACACAGTTTTCGGGTCATAGATATGCAACTATCTTGTAAAAGAAAATTGAGGAAATGGGCTATTGGAGATAACATGTTAAAGGCATATTATCAGCCCAGAGTTTCTAGTGTTAAAAATAAGACCCCTAATGTAGTTAAAGGAGAACTACGGGGTTAAGGCTTTTCCCCATAGTTCTCCTAAGGGTAACGGGAGGACACAAACTAGCGTGCTCCCGTCACCCTAGGCTCAGTATACCGCAAGCTGTAGCTCGCGATATACTGAGACGCCACAGTATACCACGAGCTGCTGCTCACGGTATACTGAGACGCCACAGTATACCGCGAGCTGCTGCTCGCGGTATATTAAGACGCCGCAGCGGATCCCGACAATTATGTCTGGATCCTCCCAGCTGCGTGACTGACAGCTGGCTCTGCCTATCTAGAGGCAGAGCCAGCTGTACCCGTCCCGTCCGCCAGTCAGCGCTGGCGGATCGGGTAGGGGGGAATCCAGCCGTGACAGGATTGAGAGGTGAGCGAACGCTGGTATGTGTTCGCTCACTTCCCGATGAACTGAGCCGACCTGTGAGTCTCATTGTCACAGGTCGGCTAGAACTATGAGGTGAGTGAAAAGCACTCACCTCATAGTTCTCCTTTAAATGTCATATTGCATATTATTATGAAAAAGTATCAAGTGCAAGTATCCGTTCATAGCGCATGATCATCTCACAAAGAATGCTTTATTCACAAGAATAAGGGCTTGTTCACACCAAATCTGCATGAGTTTCTGTACGTGCAGTGTGTTTTGACGCATTCCAGGCCGTTGAGAACAAAAACAAATGTTTTGGTGCGTTCCAGAGCAGAAAAAAATAGGGCATGCTGCAGTTTTTCCACATGCTCTGGAACTGGACGCTGCGGTGTGAACTAAAGCCCAGAAATACCATTGGAATACATTGGATACAGTTTTGATGCGTTCTTTAACTGCTCTGCACTTGGTGTGGGCTAGCCCTAAAAGCCCCTGCAAACATAAAAACAATCCCCTTGGGGATAAATTGACACCTAGAATCCAAACATTGCACCACCAGACAATATAGGAGTCACCCCCAAAAGTAAGTCAAATGGATTTCAGGTACAACTTGGAAAAGAATGTACACGGGCTGCTAGTAGTATTTAGACACATGAAACTGGACTTGTCATTTTAAATATAACCTGTACCGCGCCATACCAGTGTTTTATCTAAAGTGTAAATATTCTCAATGGATCAAATATTTGTGAAACATATTCGTTTATCCAAGCTGCTTTTGGGTGGCAGGAACATACCCAACAATAGGCACACAAGCAACTCGGTCACATTAATGCATTGACCACAGAAGGTGCCAATTTGTAGAAACACCCAGTTCTAATCTTTCCTGGTGCCAGGAAGTCTACAAGTGTTCTGGACCTTTGCCTGGTATGTGCAGCTCACCATAGAGGTATTCTCTCCTCTGGTATTTTAGCTAAATGACATTTACAGAAAGTCAAACCTTCAAATTGCTTTCCTTATTACATCACACAAAAGCAGACTACATACACACACAAAAAAATACACAATGAAATATAGACAGTACATTTTGTCAGAGTTTTAATAATTATACATTAGAAATTGTGATTTACTAATTTGGCTGAAGCCAAATATTTCTAGAACATAGTCCAGAAGGCAATAGTTTACATGCACAGTGATGACTGCCTAATATTTTGAATATGATCTGCATGAATAACCTATCCATCACTGGAACCAGTGCATATTCATCAATGTCTAGCATCTGATTAATAGAAGAGGGCAAAAATGAGCATTATTTAAAGTACAGGTTAACACTAACCCATTTTCCCTGGCACTTCTATTCCATACTAAAATCCGACACACACCCACACACATACACACACAGTGTTTACATACCTCAGTAGCACAGGCTTTTCTGGCAGAAATCCCTTGTCTCTCTGTTGGCTGCACATGCTCAAGACTTGTATGGGCCTGTACTTTGACAGTCTCAAAGTCAAAAGGATTTGTACCATATAATAAGGGTTGGGCAACTCTGGCCCTCCAGCTGTGCTTTAACTACAAATCCCCAAAATGCCTCTGCGAGTCATGCCTGTAAAAGTCAGTCTTGCAATGCCTTCTAGGACCTGTAGTGCCAAAACAGCTGGAGGGCCAGAGTTGCCCACTCCTGCCATAAAGGCTGTACTACAGTGGTAAATTAGCATTTGGGTTCAGTAAGGAGTAGTTAAGGAAAGTTGCTTCGCTTTAGTTTTGTTGCCCTACTAATGTTATATAGTTTTAGTTGATGAAGAGTAAAAAAAAAAAATATGATAGTTTGGTATAGGTTAAGGCTCCTCATACATCACTACGCTCTCTACTGCTTGTAGAAGGAAACCTGTAGCGAGAAATATGCAGGCTATGGTTAATGACATCATTTTTAACATGCTTTCTGGCATCAGTTGTTCAGGGCATGGGCCCGGAAAAGATGGGCAAATTAGGCTAGTGAAGGAAGGCTACTATCCTTTTTTTCAAGCCAGTGTCAAAAAATGGAATCCAATAGGTCAAGTAGCTTTACAGCTAGGCGACTAATATTAACCCCTTCATGACTGAGGCCCTTTTTTCATTTTTTGCACCCATGTTATATTCCACATTTTAGGCCTGAAAATGACATAAAACCCCCCAACATTATATATTTTCTGAATGCCAAGACCCTATAGAATAAAATGGTGGTAGTTGAAAATTTTTATGTTGCGCAATATTAGCGCAACTCCTTATTAAACCCCAAAATTTAGTGACAGATTTAATTAAATGCCCCAAAACACAACAAATTACCCATTTTTTTGAATGAAATATAAAAGATGAGGTTACAACGAGTAAAACGATACCCAACATGCCCAGTTTACAGATTGCGTGCGACCGTGAAACGGCGAAAAACTGCAGTACCCCAAAAAGTCAATAAAAGACGCTTTAAAAGCCCCCACAGGTCATCAATTTAGAGATACCCCAAAATACTGGCCCTAGAATTATTGCTCTCACTCCGGCGTGCACGGCGATACCCAACATGTGTAGCGCGTTCGTCGTTTTCATGCGTAGGCGCACCCGACGCGTGTTTACGTGGCGACGCGCGTGATCGCGGGGGACTTTTACATTTTTTTTTATTATTATTAGATTTCTTTTATTTAATTTTAAAAACTTTTTTTTTTTTTTTTTTTTTTTACTTTGACTGCTATCACATGGGGGGGCTTGCAAGCCCCCCCATGTAATAGCAGATGGTGGTGACAGGTCCTCTTTAAGGTGATGCTGGGGGTCCAAAAGACCCTCAGTGTCACCTTTACACTAGAAATGAGCTATTGAAGTGCAGATCGCACTTCAATAGCTTAGACCTGGGCTGCAGGAGCCCAGAACTGACAGCCCAGGGACCGGAAGTGATGCAATCTGCATCGCTCCCGGTCCCATAGAACGGGGAGGGGATCGATGAACGGAAGTTCGTCGACCTCCTCCCCAGCTCCCAGCTGACACAAAGATCGCCGGGCCCGTAGGAGGGGCAACGGAGCTCGGCGGGGGTGTCCGGCCCCTTCTTCGGGACGCAGAAGCGATCTGGCGACAGGTAAGTCGCCAGGATCGCTTCTGTTGTAAAGCCGACAGTCGGCTCTACAAGTTTAAACAGAGTCCCGGCGGCAAAAGTCACCGGGAGTCTGTTTAAACAGCCCCAATGCTGGCGACGTACACTGTACGTCGTCAGTCACGAAGGGGTTAAGGCATAGAGCAAGGTCAACACTAGGAGCCTGCCCCTACAAATACAGGGTACCAATAAATAAAAGTCTGAATACTTTTTAAGCAGATTACCTCTGTGGTTGCTAGTAGCTGAAATCATTTCACATGCTGGCTTCATCCATGGTTAATATAACAATGGTTGGAGTGGACAATACGTTAAAATGTAGAGCAGGTAATCTACAACACGTGTTGAACTAAAGTCTCAGCCAGTAGAGATTTGGGTCTATTCAAGAACTAGCACATGTTAAAATATATACACGTTGCATATTTACAGATTTTTCCAATACCACCTCATACAGAAACTTTCTCTGAGAATACCACTTACTGAAAAAGTGACAGTAAAAGTGTGCAGTACAGGAAGCACTCCATCATACATCAGTAGGTTTCAGCCAGACGCTCCACAAGTAAATTATAATTCCACAGAATTCAACATCATCGACTCTAACCAGCACAAGCCACCTGCAGCTGGAAATGATATAGTGGGAGCAGAAACGAGCAAAGCTTGGAGTGCACGGAAACCCTCTTCTCAAGGTTATCACATATACAGATTGGAACAGATTGGAACTTGCATGATTACAGCAAAAATAACCAAGGCTCTGAGAGATGAAAGTACAGACCATGCACAGGAGACCAAAAGTCTTTTTTTAATAAAGAAGCTGCTATATCAACAGCTCAGTTTTACAAGTGTCTTAATAAGTTCACAAAGTTAGATCCTTCACAGAACAAGGCCTGTTTTATTGGTTTACGAATGCTGAACCGAAGCACATTTACAAAATGCACATGGAAAGAGCTTTTAGAAACCATCCACAGGCAGAATTATCTCTACAGATAAGATTCTTGCAATAAGTTAAACTGTACAAGTGGGGACCAAAATCCGATCATCAATCCACTGGTATTCAGTGTCTGGAGCTGAGCTAATTAATAAATGGATATACTAGTAGCAGCATACGTAGGCCACAATATGCTTGTAGGATAGTCCAGGATAGAGGATACTTGACAAAATTAAAAGAAAAAAAAAAGTCATTATGTACAAGACAAAAGTTCTCAGGTAGTGTGCCGGTCTCTTATTTTGCCGGTTTAGCCTCTTGTGGATTTTCTCCAGTGTCCAAAGTCTTCAGAAGTCGGAAAAGGCCGGCTGCTTCCCGTATTCTGCTGAACTCTATACAGAAAGCCTGCACCTCTATAAACAAGTCCTGGACATTAATAATTTTGTTTCTAATTAAAGACTGTAGAAAGACACAAACCAGTCTAACCAAGCGATTCTGCAAAAGACAAAGAACACAGCTAAAAATCAACCAATTAACATCTCAGAATATAAAAATAAGCAACATGGGATGATAAAGATACAATCCTTTTACGTAAGGGTCATTGGAAAAACCAAGATAGCAAAGTAGCAGCAATACCCTTATTTCCCACTTAAAGTGTATTTACAGGAAAAACTTTTTTTAGTTTTGGATAGAGTGGGGAAGGGATAGACTGTCAACTTTTTATGATTGTCTGTGCCTGTGTTGTGAAGATCCACTCCTATTTGTTATGGTGACCATTGTCACCAGTAGTGATGAGGCTGGGCTTGATGCAAACTCAGTTTGCCCGAGTTGGCCCAAGCCCGATCAAAACTCTAATTACCACCCCCTCCTCTCGACCCAGTCAGTTGCAGGGAGGCTCATCCCCCACCCCTAAAAAGTTTTGTCCTTGCATACACTTTAATCCTGGTCTAAAGTGCATGTTTTAGCATGCTTTACATGAGTGGTTCTCAACCTGTGTAACCTCATGACCCACATTTGTCCTTGCTCAATAGGTCGCACCACACTGGAACGAACGGCACTGCTGTACCGCGCATTCCGATGCAGGCGATCGGAACTGTGGGCAGGATATGCAACTAGAACATATGGTAGGTGCGATTACATGGTACAGGGCATTAATCGCCAGGGCTGTGCGATTAACGTACTGTACTAGTGTTAATGGGCCCTTAATAACAATGACAGACACACATTAAATTTAAGAATAAAAGCGCATCTACCCAGTCTCCCAACCTTATGAGAACCGGAGTGGATCCTCAGCTTGGGGTCCAGTGTGGGCTGCTGTGTTGTCACAGCACTCCATCCATATGTGCATTGCTTTTACAGCTCCCTTGCGCACACTATAAAAGTTCCAGGAGCCAGAATGTGACGTCACTCCGGTCCAGGCACCTCTACAAGGGCATGCAAAGGAGCTGTGAGCAATGAGGAAGAAAAAAAGTGTCACCAGCAAAAATGGTCAAGTGATTGTCTTTATTGACACGTCATATTTTTGTCACAGTATGTGCAAAACTTCACCAGCAATATATAAGCACACATACAGCGCAATAACCCAATGGGAGCTGTAAACAACGAATGCATACGCCATACCTCAAAGCCCACCCCAACTCAAGCTGTCACTCAATGCCGGACAGCATATTTTGAACGGCTGCTCGGAGTGAGAACTGACAGTGCTGTGCTAGGAGGAGGCTGAGGAGTCTCTAAACTAGCACAGTGGAAGGCACGCAACAACAACCCACTGAACATGGGGTTGCGACCCACATTTGGGTCGTGACCCACCAGTTGAGAACCCCGGCTTTACATTCATAGAAAACTCCTACCTGCATATATTTGTCCTTAATTTGCTCACACGTGGATATGCAATTTGATATATAAAGGTGAATAAATTCAGGAGGAAGATCAACCGCAGTGGTTAACCTGCAGAATAAAATGATAGGATTACGATGGATGCAAAGATGGATGGAGAAGAAAAAGAAAGACACCTTCATCTTAAAACATTAGTGTTATAGACCGCAAAATGATCAGGAGGGGAAGGCCAGTTCCGTTGACAATTGTTAAAGGAAATCTTTGACTTGGATTCTCACTACACATTGACCTTTCTGATATGCCTCCTTAACCCTGGTTGGTGTCTCAATACAAAAATCGGAGCCAAGCAAAATTTGGAACTTTCCTAATTCTTCAAATACAGGTTTTCTGTAAAGCTAAGCTCCAACCATAGATAATTTACTGTTAACATTAATACAAAGAAGGGAATTTTTTCAAACTGGAGCTGTCACAATTAGGAGCAGTTGCCCGTAGTAACCAATCAGCTTCTCTCTTTCATTTTCAAAAGCTTAAATTGAGAGAAGCTGATTAGCTGCTATGGGCAACTGCTCCAGATTCTGTCTGCTCCACGTTTGATAAATTCCTTCCAAAGTGTTTAACCTGTAAGCTGCCCGTTCTCTGCACGAATGTTGTCCATTAGAAGCCCTTACAGGGTAGGCAGAGTTATGGAAAAGTACAAGCAACCTATTCAGGATTCCTTCTACCTTATGGTAGTGGCTATATCCCTAACATGGCCACGTTCCTAGCATCTTGGTGACAACTTGTTAGGATTCTGAGTTTATCCAACGCACTGATTCTAGATTAGCAGAAGGTCACAATGGGTAGCAACTTTAACAGAAACAGACACAACTCACCGATTAACAACTTCCATTGAATGTAGCGACATGTCCATGTTGACCAGAACTGAGAAATACTCTGTGATCTGACTTGACTGCATCAGCTTTAGCAACATTTCAATTGCAACCAGGGGATTGTTTTCTACCAGGTCTGGAAGCTTGGCAGGAGTAAGGCCAATATGATAAACCAGTTTGGGGTCTTTTTCTAACTCTGCAAGGAGCTGAAGAAAAGAGGAATTTGTTATTTTTATTAAGCAAATAGGTTTTGTTTAGATATAGCATTGTGATTTGAGGCAAAACAACCATTTCAAACAATGCTGAATTTCTGCTGAAAAACAGTAATGGTCACACAACAAAAGTAGGAATCTGGCCAAAAATACATTTAAACTGGCCTGGGACAGAAAGTCAGGAAGTACAGCAATAGTACTATACGCCTGGGGGTAAGGAAGAACACCGCTGAAATAAAAGCTCAAAATCAGGTATGATTACAACAGATGATTTTGTCAAAGTGTTAGAGGCTGCAGCTCTTCTCATCTAGTTTTGTACAAACATATATTACAGGCTTAAAGGGTAATTCCACTTTCCCAGACAAATGAATTTACCCCAACCAATCTGCCCCTTCTCCCTCCGCTGCTCTTACCTATCCACGATTGCTCCTTCGCCTCCACGGCTCCTCGTGTAATATCCATACTCTGTACATGGGGCTGCAGTCTTGCGGTATGCATTTCAAGTGTTGCTCACAAAAGGCGTGCTCTCATTTGTCAGCGAAGCCATCCGACCAATGAGCAGCGCTTCTTGCTAACTGCTGAGCACAGTCATTTGCTACTGAAATTTAACATACACAGGACTGCAATCCCTTTATATCAGTTCCTGACCAGGTGCGGATCTGCAGATGCGGTGCTACTGATGCAGTGCGTTTTTGTCACGTTCCAGTTAGAGTGCTGGAGTGCGGCTTTCAGTATGTTAGCTGCAGTGCAGTGCGCTTTTGACGCGTTCTGCGTTTCCTGACCGGACAAAATGTGACATGCAGTATTTTTCTGTCGTAACCTGAACGGACTGCGCACGTGAGAACTGTAGCCCATAAAACACATAGGGATACATTGGGATGCATTTTTAGTGCAGGAGCGCAGGGATCAGGTCAGCACAGAAAACGGACGTCGTGTGAACAGGCCCTTAAACAGGGTTACACACTCCATGTCTGGATGAGACATGGTAAATGAACCACAGGGGTCCCATTATCGTTTAGCACTCCAATGGCAACTTTCTGCAACTGTCAGGGGACTGCTATTGGATGTATCAGTATTTACATATTAGAAAAACTGCAGCAGTAGGGGTGAGCTCTTCTTGCTTACCTCCATTCCTGAAGTAGGCAAAGCTGAAAACACCAGAGATATAGATGATACAAGAAGATTGTTGTACTAGCGTGCATTTACCCAAAAGCAAATGCTGTTTATAATTGCCTTTAAAATTCAGCCCTGTGATCCCAGACCTTTACTACCTGCACTGAGGGCCACATTGGTTGCTCCAAGATCGCACTGCCTTGTAACTAGAGCTGCAGCTAACGATTATTTAAAATCGATTATGTCGATTAGTTGTTGCAGCCCTACTTGTAACAATACGAGGTTTAACCCACAGTTACTTTTTCTGTAAAGTGCACACACCTATCCTTGGCAGAAAGTGCAAGAATGTAGCACAAAAAAAAAAAGGGAGCTCCCCAGCTATGATGGAAGCTTTAACTAGATGTTGGGTGAGTGAACTTGCCTAAAGCTGGCTGACTTATCTAGCTTTTTTCTTTCTTTCTTCCAATCTTTTGTTAGCCTTAAGCTGGCCATACACCTTACAATTATCTGCAGATTTTCTGTGGTCAGATGGAAATATGCAACAGATTCCTCCATCTACACTTAACTGTGTGGATGGAGGAATCTCCCACTGGCCAAGCTTCAGGATCTTGCTAGTCGGCCCCGCTGGCTGTCAAACTACCTGAACAATGCCGGCATCCAATCAGACAGTTCAGGTATTTTGATAGCCAGCGGGGCCAACTAGCAAGATCCTGAAGCTTGGCCAGTGGGAGATTCCTCCATCCACACAGTTAAGTGTAGATGGAGGAATCTGTTGCATATTTCCATCTGACCACAGAAAATCTGCAGATAACGTATAGGCCAGCTTAAAGGAGAACTATTAGATGAGTGATTTCCACTCTCCTCATAGTTCTAGCCGACCTGTGACAATGAGACTGTCACAGGTTGGCTCAGTAGATCGGGAGGTGAGCGAACAGATACCGGCCTTCGCTCACCTCTCGATCCTGTCACGGCCCTCTGCCGTGACAGGGGAGGGGCTGGATTCCCCCCTCCCCGCCGCCAGCGCTGACTGGGAACGGACACGGGCGGGTACAGCTGACTCTGCCTCTAGATAGGTAGAGCCAGCTGTCACTCACGCAGCTGGGCGGATCTCGACATCGATGTCGGGATCCGCTCCGGCTGCGGTGTCTCAGTATACCGCGAGCTGTAGCTCGCGGTATACTGAGCTTAGGGTAACGGGAGGACGCTAGTTTGTGTCCTCCCGTTACCTTAAGGAGAACTATGGGGAAAAGCCCTAACCCCATAGTTCTCCTTTAAGGCTAACACAAGATTGAAAGCAAGAAGCTAGATAGTCAGGCCAGAGCAAAGTAAAAAAAGAAACCTGAAAAGACTCCAGTACACATTTACAATGAAATCCTATCCACAAATAATTTAGAGCAAATACCTGTGTCTGCTGAGGAGAAGACAGTGGACTTTTAAATGCCTTGGCCATGATGCGCTTAATTTCCACACCAGTGCTATTCTTTACGCACATTGATTTGTCCCATTTGATGGCATGATCAGGATCAATGGGATTCAACCAAGCAAGTTCATCATCACAGATGTGTAGAGGAGGAGGTGGGCGTATGAATTCAGGACGGAAGTGGCCTTAAAAAGAATGTGCTACAATGAGAACCTTACCAATGGATTAAAGAAATACAAACAATTAAAAATATCCTAAATTTTACTACAACGTTATCCCGTACCTTTTCCCAAAAGTGAAAATGCGGATAATTCTCGGAATAGATGAAAGCATCATATAACCACACAATGACCTCCAAAATGTTATCACTGCACCAGAGAAAAGACAACAACCTGACATTCGGATATTAGAAAACAAGGTTACATACTTTCAATCGGTGGCTTTGGACCGCTGACCAAAGCTTCTGTAATCTGAGAAGCAACGGAACTGTCAAAACCAGAATTCGAGGAGTCTGGGTCAGGATCACTTAAGATGCTTGGGAAGCTGGCCTTGCTCTGAGTTGGAAGTTCAGACTGTCGTTCTAAAAAAACAAAAACATCATCAAAGCATGGGCTCATTTTAAGACATTTTGTATCATTTGTTTACTTTCTTTTGGAACCTGAACGTTTACCAATATATTTCCTTTTCTAGCTTTTGTTTTATGATTTCATTTCTCTACCAGTCATGACAATGAAGTGCAGGAGGAGATGGCCACAGCGCGACTCTAGGAGATGAAGTTGCTACTTGCATAACAGCTTCAAGAACAGAGGTACCCAAACTCCAGCAATGGTGAAACTAAAAATCCCAGCATGCATCCGTCTCTAGAAGCCATGTCTCTGGCTCTCAGAGTCTTGCAATGCCTTATGGCATTTGTAGTTCCAGACTAGCTGGAGGGCTGAAGTTTGGAAACCTTTATTCTAGAAACTCTGGAAGCAATATAAAAGTAATGCAGAACCCTCGAATTGCCTTCTTTTTTGGTCTGCTGACAGTGTAGTAGTGTAAAATGCTAAGAGTGGCACATGCCTCTTACCTGCTAGTGCCAACTGAAGTCCACTGATGTCTACTGGCTGCGCCAAATTCGTCACGTCCATGACAGCTATCTGTCTAGGTGTCTTTTTAAATAATTCTCTAGGTGGTGCCAACATCAACTGAGAAAGGAAGAACTTTTCAGGAGGTGTAATTGGTGGCAAAAAACCTGCAGAATGAACACATCTTTAATATTAAACAATGTGCAACAAATATGAAATAAACATTTTATAAAACGTGGTTAAAAGACTGCAGATGCAACAGTCTGAAATATCAGAAACAGCCTGGATATGAATACCAATAGTAATTGTCTACATTATCCAATCACTAAACGGTACCACAGATGGAAGCCATTCCTGTGATTCCAGCATTCAAACTAAACCGGGGTTTCTACTTTTCTGAAGAAAGTTGGAAACCTCTTTAGTCTGAAATAAAAAGAAACCCGTTCAATGCTACAAAGAAAGCCAAGCTGCTCAAAGTCAGAAGCCCCCAAAAGTTCAGATTAGCTGTAGGGCTGCAACTAACGATTATTTTCATAATCGATTAGTTAGCCGATAATTTTTTTCGATTAATCAGTTAAAACAAAATACCATCCTTAATTTAACATTAAATACGTGGCAATACCTGACATGTGTAGCACAATTCTCATTTTTCTATGTAGGTGCACCCGACAAGTGTTTCTGTTACTGTACGCGCGTTTGCAGGGTTTTGCGGGAGTCACAAGCCCCCTATGTGATGGCACATTGGAGGTGACAGGTTCTCTTTAAGGTGACATTAGGTATCTTTTAGGCCCCTATTGTCACCTTTTCACTTCACTGGATTTAGCTGCTAAGGCAGCTGAATGTCAACACAGCATGCAGTGGCTTGGAGCAATAGCCAGCCTGCTATTGGATATTTTAAATTGCAATAGTAGGCTGGCTATTGCACCCGCCCACTGCTTGCTGTCAATCAGCAGAGGAGGGAACTGAAGGCGAAAATTCTCCTTCAGGTCCTCCTCTGCTGATTGACAGCAGGCAGGTGCAATAGCCAGCCTGCTATTGCAATTTAAAATATCCAATAGCAGGCTGGCTATTGTTTCCAGCCACTGATGGGAGACTTGACGTCGGTGTTCTATCAATCCCTCGGACTCAAGTCTGAGGGATTGAAAGAACACTGGCAGAAGGGGGGGCACAGAAGGGATCGGTGAGGGTAAAGGAACGCAGCGGAGGAGGAAGAAGAACGGGGCAGCAGCTGAGGTACAGCGGGGCGGGGGGGGGAGGCAGTGGTGGAATGCAGTCACAGAGGTCTCTCCTCCCCGCTGGTGTCGGCTGCAGTGGTCTGTGTCCCCGCTGCTTCTGCCAATAGAGTTGGAGATTGAAAGGGACACAGACCGCTGCAGTCAGCACCAGCGGGGAGGAGAACTGAGAAGCAGAGTGGTGGGAACTAATCGAAAATCATCTAATCGATGATGAAAATCGTTGCCAAAGGCTCTCATTATCATTTATAATCCATTTAAACAATTAGTTGTTGCAGCCCTAATTAGCTCCCAAAAACAGTTTTTTCCACTTTCCACATTGAAATGTATCTGTAAAAAATATATCAAGGCAACAGGACTTGTTGTATTTTGAAGATGTTTCACTGGTCATCTGACTAGCTCTCTCAATTCTGAATGACTTCAGATTCTCTGGGAATATGGTGAATGTTGCTCCAATCAACATTATTTGTTAATCAGTCCAGCCTTCTTTTTTTTTTTTTTTTAAAGTAGACCTGTCACTCTGCCCATTGAGGGAAAAGTGATAGGATTTCTTGATAGCCTTTTTTCAACATCGGCTGATACCTTCTCTGTGTTACCTTCTCTGTGTTCCCTGCACTGAGTTCACCAATCACAGGCCTTGTACTACCCCTTCTATCCCACAATGCAGTGCTCAGCACCTGTGCAGCTACCCATCAGGCTCAAGCACTGTCACATAGGGGTATAGATAAGGTCATAGGTCATGTGTAATTTCTGATATCCACCTTACACTTGGCCTGTAACCAAGGGTTCCAGCAGGTGAAAAGAGTGACAGGGAATGTCAGAATGAGTGGGAGGGGGACCATCAGGAGAACCTGTCACCTTGCCCCGAACAGTACAAGTGGCAGGATTACTTTAAACACCCAAGGGACAGTTTGGAAAACAGTTCTCTGCTTTTAGGTGCCATATAAACACAGGCTTTCTTAAAGAAAGCGTAGGTGAAAAGGGTTGTGAAAGTAGATTAGATTGTAAGCTCCTTTGGTGCTCTAGGTATATATGAGCCCACACGTGTCGCTCATGGGTCTGTTCACAATTAAAAAGGAAGGGGCAGGTGGCGAGCCCTCACCTGACAGCAGCCTCTCGGCCTCCTCTCCGGCCGGTGGGTTGAGCAGATGGGCGAAGATGGCGGCGAAGGGGTTGGCGGCGAGCGGCTCGGTGCGGTACATCTCCCATAGCAGGTAGAGGGCAGTGAGGCGCTGCGGGGAGGTAGGCAGGAGATCCGGCTGCTGCAGGAGCATCACCAGCACCGAGCCCACCCGGAAATGGTCGGCCTTGGTGAAGTAGTGGTGGAAGGCAGTGGACAGGCCCTCGAACGTGTTGCTGCAGGCCTCCTCCGTCAGGATGCCCAGGAGGTTCGACAGCTCCTTCCCGCCGAGACTCATCGTGAGGCCGGTGACCAATACAGCAACCACCGCTAGCCTGTCTCTTCTTGCATGGGACCGGGAATACCAACACACGGCGATGCTGTTGTAGCCTACTTGAAAATGTCTTTGTCAATAAAGTTTTTTTTTCTCGGAAACACCGGCAGTAACGTAATAGTCGGAACAGCCAGGGCAATCCCGATGCGTGCGCGTTCCTGAGCCACGGGCTGAAAGACTGCGCATGCGCTGGGAGAAAGGGAGCGTGCTCTTTGCACAGTGAGTTGTGTACTGTGTGTATGCGGCTGTTCGCTGTATTGGAAAGAATAAGAAAACTTCTGAGGCCAGAAAGAAGGAAACCTTTAGGCACATGCGAATGTAAACAATGGACGCATCCCTGCCTGCTTTGAGAAGAAGAAAGAATTCACATGCAAAAAATGAATGGCTAAACCCAAAATTGCTGCTTTTATAGTGGCTTTTGAAAATATCAGATGCAGAAATGTAGAGGTTAGATAAAAGGTTTACTATAGTATAATGCTTTTCAGAGTTTATTCATACATTTTTATAGAGATCTATACCTCATTCCAAAAACAGGGACGACTGAGAAAGAAGGACAGATTTGCTTCACAATAGACTCCTTAATCGGTCCTGTTCACTACGGATGAGCTCAGGTTTAGGGCCTGTTCACACGACGTCCGTTTTCTGTGCTGACCTGATCCGTACGCTCCTGCACTAAAAATGCATCCCAATGTGTTTTATGGGCTACAGTTCTCACGTGCACAGTCCGTTCAGGTTACGACAGAAAAATACTGCATGTCACATTTTGTACGGTCAGGAAACGCAAAACGTGTCAAAAACACACTGCACTGCAGCTAACATACTGACAGCCCCACTGGAACGCATCAAAAACGCACTGCATCAGTAGCACCGCGTCTGCAGATCCTCACTTGATATCATGTGAACAGGCCCTTAGGCCCTGTTCACATGATTTTCAGGTCCGGATAAGGTGCGGATCTGCAGATGCGGTGCTATGTGTTTTGGTCGCGTTTTTAATGCGTTCCAATAAAAAAAAAGATTTTTTTTTTTTTGCTGGAGTGGGGCTGTCAGTATGTTAGCTGCATTACAGTGCGTTTTTGACGCGTTTTGCGTTTCCGGACCGTTTCCTGACCGTACAAAATGTGACATGCAGTATTTTTCTGTCGTAACCCGAACGGACTGCGCACGTGAGAACTGTAGCCCATAAAACATATTGGGATGCATTTTTAGTGCAGGAGCGTAAGTATCAGGTCAGCACAGAAAATAGACGTCGTGTGAACAGGCCCTTAGTCTGAACTTGAGTCTGTCCAGGACCCAGAAGCAAGGTGTCAGTGCAAATCCAAACAGCTACGGCCAGGCCATTCTCTTCCCTGCAGCTGCATGTAAACAAAGGGGGCGATGCTGGTCAGATCATTGACCTTTTAAAGTGACACTAAACTCAGGAGTTAAATCTTAAAAATACATTCAAGTACCTTATCTATTAACAAAAATTAGGGCTGGTAATGATTACAATTTTCGTGTTCGATTATTTGGACATCGACGTCACCGGACTCCTCCCCCTTCCCTTCGTTAGCCGTCACCGGACTCCTCCCCCCTTCCCTTCGTTAGCCGACGGAGCCACTTGGGGAAGGGGGAGGAGTCCGGTGACGTTGATGTCCCTGACGTCACCGGATCGCCAAAGGGACTCCCGGAAGCCGGCGCAGCGGTGAGTGTTTTCATTAGCGATCAAAATAATTTTAATCGATCAAAAAGTTTCACGATTAATCGAGAAATTTATCTTTAATTTCCGCGGCCCTAACAAAAATGTATCTTATTTGTTTGTCAGTCGGCTGTAAATCCTCAATCATCTCTGAATTGGTGCCGGCACTGTCCTTCCTTCTGGAGGGCGGCTACTTTTGCTCCCCATGATCCCTGTGTGTGTTGTAAAGTAGCCACCGCTCCAAGCTCGCTCCTGTGATGGACACAATCTCATGTTTAGTTTACTAATTTGTATTGAGATTGTAGTCCATCACAGGAGTGAGCTTGGAACAGTGGCTACTTTACAATACACACAGGGACCATGGGGATCAAAAGTAGCCACCCTCCAGAAGGAAGGACAGTGTCAGCACCAACTCAGAGATGATTTGAGGATCTACAGCTGAGTGATACACACATAAGATACATTTCTGTTAATAGTTAAGGAACATGAATGCATTTTTAAAATGTAACTCCTGAGTTTAGTGTCACTTTAAGGCCACATGGCCATGTTTGGGCAATGATGTTGACCTATTGTGGCCATATAAGGTCAATGATGTCACCAGCATCCCACCCCTTACGTGCAGCTCTGGGGCATGCCCCGGGATTTACGTGCAGCTGTGGGGCATGCCCCGGCACACAGCTGATTGGGTCGGCACTAACAGCTTCTTTATGGCTTTGGACAAACTCAAGTTCGGACCAAACCTAAGCTCATCCCTACTCTTCACTATAGTTTAATGGAATGTCAGTTTTCTTTGTCCATCAAAAGGCAGGCTCTATTCTAGGAACACTTAAGGTATCCCCTTTTAGAGATAAGGAAACTGGTGGTAATTAAGACCTAATTTATCTTGGAGTAATTTGTGTCAGATGTGAATTTCTTATCGCTCCTGACACAAATGATGAAAAGATGAAATCGGTTGCTGGGATGCTCTCAGCACAGTATCACTGGTTGCTAGGCTACTGACGGCACAGCATCATTGGTTGCTAAGCCGCTGTTTAGTTGCACAGCACCATAACAACCAATGATGCTGTACAGGCCAGTCCAGGGGATAATTATGCCCTGAGGATGGATTGCCCAGTATGGACACTCAGTGGCTCAGGGCCTCATTGCCAGCCCTCATTATGCCTCCATGGGACAAATTCATGTATCTGTTTTTAATAGGTACGTGAATATGTCACAGGCACAGGCATTTGTTATGCAAAGGAACAACAGAATTCTAAAAAGTGTTTTTGTGACACTTTAGGAATTCCAGGGTATATGTCTGTACTCAGATGATGCCATAAAATAAGTTGTATCAGTACTCAAATCTCAGTACTTTGTACAATTCCAATGTAAAATTATGACAATTTGTAATTTACATCTTTTATTGTAAACATTCAATACAAGTCTGTTGAAAACCAAATGAGAGTCAATCCCTTCAAGTGAGGATTAGTTGGATGCTATGCATGAAGAACAAATAAAGTACAGCATTGTCCCCCCCAAAAAAAGAGAAGGTATTTGTATATGTCTTTAGTGATAACACCAATTAAAACACAAATTAAAGTACGGTTGTCATTCCCTAAGCTGCAAAATGTTTCAGCCTCATAAGCATTACATCATAGTTGCTAACATCTGAAAAATCAACCAAAAAAATAAGGCGCATTTAGCACATTGTCGGCTGGATACTTGTGTGTGTGGCCAGTAAAGTAGATGCTGTTGTCTTAAGGTGCCCATACACCTTAAAACCATCGCACGACTTTCATCCTGTGATGGTTGTAAGGTAATTAAAAGCTCGTTCGATCTGCCTATCTTGGACAGGCAGATCGTACTTGCGATCATCACAAGCCCTCCCCGCTGAGGGCTAGATTCCAATGCTGAGCGGGTGGCTACTGACGGCACAGCATCATTGGTTGCTAAGCCGCTGTTTAGTTGCACAGCACCATAACAACCAATGATGCTGTACAGGCCAGTCCAGGGGATAATTATGCCCTGAGGATGGATTGCCCAGTATGGACACTCAGTGGCTCAGGGCCTCATTGCCAGCCCTCATTATGCCTCCATGGGACAAATTCATGTATCTGTTTTTAATAGGTACGTGAATATGTCACAGGCACAGGCATTTGTTATGCAAAGGAACAACAGAATTCTAAAAAGTGTTTTTGTGACACTTTAGGAATTCCAGGGTATATGTCTGTACTCAGATGATGCCATAAAATAAGTTGTATCAGTACTCAAATCTCAGTACTTTGTACAATTCCAATGTAAAATTATGACAATTTGTAATTTACATCTTTTATTGTAAACATTCAATACAAGTCTGTTGAAAACCAAATGAGAGTCAATCCCTTCAAGTGAGGATTAGTTGGATGCTATGCATGAAGAACAAATAAAGTACAGCATTGTCCCCCCCAAAAAAAGAGAAGGTATTTGTATATGTCTTTAGTGATAACACCAATTAAAACACAAATTAAAGTACGGTTGTCATTCCCTAAGCTGCAAAATGTTTCAGCCTCATAAGCATTACATCATAGTTGCTAACATCTGAAAAATCAACCAAAAAAATAAGGCGCATTTAGCACATTGTCGGCTGGATACTTGTGTGTGTGGCCAGTAAAGTAGATGCTGTTGTCTTAAGGTGCCCATACACCTTAAAACCATCGCACGACTTTCATCCTGTGATGGTTGTAAGGTAATTAAAAGCTCGTTCGATCTGCCTATCTTGGACAGGCAGATCGTACTTGCGATCATCACAAGCCCTCCCCGCTGAGGGCTAGATTCCAATGCTGAGCGGGCAGTGTGCGCTTGCGCACACCGACACGTGCGGCATTTGTCTCCTGAGAACGCTGCTAACCCGCCGAAAATCGTACGATTCTTGTCCGGTTTTCAAGCCTGCTCGGGAGACAAAAGACGTGCGACCGTACACATGGGCGTCCCGAGGCTGGGTG